GGAAACCAAACAACTAAAAAGTCTAACATGGTTTTTGCATGGCCTTGCTAACTATCTAAGGATTTGCTTTTATTTGCTTCTGTTGGAAAACTGATAAAGTAGGATGTGAAATGCTTGCCTTAACTGTCTCTTATCTTCTGAATATCCAGGTTCACTGCTAGGCCTCTTGTACAGACAATTTTTGAGGGTGGAAAGGCAACATGTTTTGCATATGGTCAGACAGGCAGTGGCAAGACGCATGTAAGTTTGTTTGGTTTTTTTTTTCCCCTCCAAAGAATCATTTTATAGCTTAAGATAATGTATGTTGAAGTTCTTTGTTATGAGATTATACAAGGAACTTGGGTCTTAAGGGTTTTGTCATTAAACTGTTAACAGTTTTAGTTGTTAATCCTCCTTTTCTGTAGCTTTAAGTATTTCTTCTGAAGTTGTGAGGAAAATCATGTCTTTTTCCTCTTGGAGGAACAGCTCCATTGAACTCTAATGCAGTGGCCAGCACTCCAGAATCTTACAGGCATTTAACTGACACTTTGCATGGTCCAAATCTCCTCTCTAAACTGACAGGGAAACAGCAAATAACTTCATTGTATTGCTGTAATCATCTCATTCACATCAGATCACGTACATGATAACTTCCTAGTATGTCCTTGGGATTATAATCAGGTTGCCTGCCTTGCTTTTGAGCTGCACTTTACTTCTGATGGCTTTTTCTTTTAATAGACTATGGGTGGAGACTTCTCTGGGAGAGCGCAGAACGCCTCCAAAGGCATATATGCTTTTGCATGTAAGTTGATTCTTAAGATATGAAAACCAAACTTGTGCATGCTTTTCCTAAATAGATATGCTTTGTTTTTACAGGATTATTTAAAATGTTTCTGGTAAAAGATGCATGGAGTACTTAAGTTCTGATTCATCAGTGGGGCTGTTTAAACAGCAGGAGGTACAGGAAGCAGGTTGCTCACAAGCCCCTCCTTGATGTAATGCCTAGAAAGTGTCACAAACTGGTTGTTCTGAGTTCTACTTTTCTTATAGAAAGGCGTATTGTGAAACTGTCAGTGCAGCAGGTCGGTTAAGTTCAACCAAAGGGCCAACTGTTCTGGTATATCATCTCCAGCAGCATGCAAGTGCTGTCTAGGTTCTCTGCAGGAAGCATTTCAAACAAATGCTTGGCTTTTGCAGGCCTGTCCAAAGCAGTAACAGGTCTTGATGTTCCCCATGTCAGGGGGATGCGTGTGCAGCTTTTACTTACGCTGATCTTAGTAGACCAGCATGAGTTGCTGTCTGCAGGTAATGTTGGCAGTAGAAGCATCCATATCCCTGTTCTTGGTTTCTGGATGACAGTGCTGCTGAAACTGGTTTTCAGATGGCAGCACGTCACTAATTGTTTCATTAGAATTTGCTTAGGATGGCTGTCATTAAGCTGCTAGTCACTGCTTTATGGCTAGTGATAATCAGCAGTAGTTCAACAGCAACTAGGAGCTAGTTTAACTAAGCTAGTTAACTAAGTTTTTAAGCTACTTAACTAAGTTCCTGTCTTCCTTCACCAGCACAAGATGTCTTCTTTCTTCTAAGCCAGCCCAGGTACAGGAGTCAGGACCTGGAAGTCTATGTGACTTTCTTTGAAATATATAATGGAAAGGTAAGACTTCTTGTTTTCTTTTAATCCTGGCCTGATTCTGGCTGTATGTTTTACATGTGGCTGAATTAAATATACTTTTTTTTTTTTCTATCTGTTAAGCCTCTGTTCAATGTGATGTTCTCTGTAAAGCCAATACAGGCTACCTGCAAGGAGTCTTTGTTCAAATTTGCCTCAATCTTATTGCCTGAATATAGGTGTTTGATCTCTTGAATAAGAAGGCAAAGCTTCGAGTCCTGGAGGATGGCAAGCAGCAGGTTCAGGTTGTTGGTCTGCAAGAGAAACAAGTCAGCTGTGCTGAAGATGTCATCAGAATGATTGAGATGGGCAGTGCTTGCAGGTTTGATGCCTTAAAACAATAAGAAAGCAACTGTGTCTTTGTACTCTGTGTCTGCAAAAAGTGATGCTTGTAGCTGGTGTTTGGATTTCAAACAAGGAGCCTGTTGTTCCCAGTAGCAGACAGGCACTGATCTGCATGAAAACAAGGGGATTACATAGTGAAGGACTAGCAGGCATGGATTTAGTCTTTCTTCCATAGTGGCCACATGTTCACGCATCTCCAGAAGAAAGGAAATATTTGCATCAAAGCAGCCTTTCCATTGTGTCACATCTAGGAAGCAGGCAGACTCCAGTTTAGAAGTATCAGCTGGTATACTGGAGCTTAAGTTGCTCCCTGAGAGTGTGTGAGATCAAGGAAGAGCAGCTGGCATCAAGCTGTAGTTGCAAAAGTGTTAGGATTAACTGCAGGCCAGATGAGCTGTTCTGATAGCAGCAAAAAGGCTACATGTCATTTGAAGATCTCTAAGAAGTCCTTGATAGGAGTTGCTGTAGGCTTGGATGCTCAATTTGGCAGGCCTGGCTGCAGACTATGAGTGGAGCATTGCTACCACTGCACTGGTACGTCTTCAATCAGGGGCTAAGTTCTGTATTAACAAGTTCTAGCTGTCTCATAAGATATACCTGCTATGGAAATATTACTTGGCCAAGAACTTCTTGGCAGCTGTATTACATTGCACGGGCAGATGTGTGCATCCTCAAAGCTCCACTAATGCTCTGCTGTGCATCCTGTTTTGGGTGATGTTTCAGCCAGGAACTGTTTAATGCTTCAGCCTCCTGCCTCCCTCAACAATATTTCAGGGCAACCCCCTTCCCCGTTCACCTGGGAGCAGGGATGTGGGTGGGACTACAAACCTGCCAGCCCTCTTAGGGAACAAATGGTAGTGAAAGTCACAGTGAAGTTTATGGTACGGCAGACTCAATCCCTAGCAGTGACAGGCAGGAACAGTTGCACAGCAGAGGCTAAGCAGCAAGCCTGCTTGGCTGGAGAGAGGGATTTACAATGACTGCAGTGTGCTAGCACAGCTAATGTTTAGTGGCAGGAAAATGCTGGGCTGAAGGTATCTCTTCCAGCTCTGAATGTATATGAGGTGTTAGCAGTCAAAGTTATTCTTATGTAGGCTGTCTGAGTTGAGCTGGGCAGCATGGTAACAGAAGTGATTCCATAATTCATGCAAACCTGAGGTACTGTTGTGTGGGTTAAAGAACTTAATTAAATGGCTGCAGGCCTTTAATGCTGTTGGGACCTTTGAATCTCCAGTGATGCAGCTCTGACACTTGTTTGCATCTTTGCTGTAGGACATCTGGGCAGACTTTTGCAAATGCTAGCTCTTCACGGTCACATGCCTGCTTCCAAATCATACTACGTCAGAGAGGGAAATTGGTTGGCAAATTTTCCTTGGTGGATTTGGCAGGAAATGAGAGAGGTGCAGACACATCTAGTGCTGATCGACAGACACGAATGGAAGGTGCAGAAATCAATAAAAGCTTGCTGGCTTTGAAGGTGAGCTATAGCTCAGAGAGCAAATGGTGCTAATCAACACAGGATTTTGTTTGACTTTGAGGTAATCTACTCTGTTTCTTTCCAGCGCAAGGGAAAAGAATAGCCAAAAGGATCTCAGTTTTGTATTTTAATAACCCTGATAAATCACATGTATTATGCTTGCTCTTAGTATGTTTCCAGGAAAGCAGTACAGTTGCATAGTCCCGTCAAGTCTAACGCTGTCACAGCCATTTGAAGCTTCATTCAAGTTGTCTTGTTTTTGTGTTTCTGTTGTTTTCTATATATGATGGTATGTGGTATCTGTGCTGGTCAGATATGTGGAGTGTACTTACAAGGCTAGGAAGCACGTAGAGAGCAATAGAGATGATGATTCTTCAGCCTGCTGGTGGCTGTAGTTTGCAGAGCTGCTTAAAAAGAGATACAGATACTATGCTCACAAAACTTGTCTCTTCTTAGGAATGTATCAGAGCTTTAGGCCAGAACAAATCTTACACTCCTTTCCGTGAAAGCAAGTTGACCCAGGTGCTGAGGGACTCTTTCATAGGAACCAACTCAAGGACCTGCATGGTAAGTATGTTTGTGATACAGTTAAACCCACTCACTGTTTGCGAGTGTTGCAATTTGACCAGGTAGCTGCACGCTCCTCTTCTAGGATGGAATTTTGGTGTCAAATCTGCAGGGAACTTTGCTCCAGTCTCAGCAGGAAGAAGGCAGCACAAGTCATTTTCATACAGTGGATCTGCAGTAGTGCGTGGCGTGCTCTCAAAGCACACCTAATTCCTGGGAAGGTGCAGCACCACGCGTGCACAAGAAGTCAGTGGAAAACAGACTTTTCTCTGCTCCATAGGAGCCGTACAGAAAAACATACATGGCCAGTGTCTCAACTCTGACCCTTTTCCCTAACGTGTCCCAGCTGCCTACTGAGATCTGCAGGGCCAAGAGCTTGAGCAAAAGGCAGACATGGAACTCACTGTGGCTTTCTGTTTGCAGATAGCAATGATTTCTCCAGGCATGAGTTCATGCGAGTACACCTTAAACACACTGAGATACGCTGACAGGTATGACTTTCTGACTTAAGGATTCTATTACTGCAGATTATGTTTTGACTGTCCTTTCTTCAGAGGTAGGCTTCAAACTGCCCTGTTTTTTGTAGGAAGTATACCCTGTTGGCAGTGTCCTGAGTGGTGACCTCCACCCATAGTGTGCACTAAGAACATTCCCTGACATAACCCTACAGATTATGCACAACACCGCTAGGTGTTTACTGTGGACTTTAATATGAGCTAGTAGGGTATGATACCACTTGAATGAAATCTAAAGAACCCAGAGAACTCAGGTGCTTGGTAGCAGATGGTGGGAGTGTGAATTTGAATGCTCCGTGGTTCATCTTGGGCACCTGAAAGACAGACTTGCAGGAACAGATCTCTAGAGTTCCCTGGGGGTCTTGCTGAACCCTGGAATACCTGAGAAGAGCAGCCTTTACATCTCCAGTGAAATGATGAGTGAAAAAGGATAGGCAGACTCTGGTTGCAGAGAAAGCAGTTTGTATTTTGAATGTCAGCACAACAGCTAAAGAAACAGCTAAAGCCTTCCCTCTTTCACGAGGATCAGTGGTATTTGAATTTTCCCTTGCTGATGCTGTGTTGCATGGTTCTGTACAGTGGCTGCAGAGTCTGTGATTTTTGTCCTATGTTAACAAGATAAAACTTGTGTACTTCAGACCTTGTAGCTTTCATTTATGTCATAAAAGGCCTCTTGGTCCCCTCCTTAGCAGGAAAACTCAAGAGAAAAGTCATGAACGTTCAGGAGCACAATGAATCTTCAGAGGTTTGGTTCAGGCTCAGGATTGAAGTTGCTTTTTTTTCTTTTGGTGGAGTCATTCCTGATCACCTGAAAGCACAAGACAAAATGAAGCATCTGACTTGCACACTTGCACTGTGCTTTGCTTGCTCCCATTGGTTTCACTGCTGGTGCACAAGGCAAATTCAGGCCACTGGAAAGGGAATAGGTAGGCTAAAACTCACTGAAAATACAAAGCTGATGCTGGTAAGTGGGATGAAGTGCCTAGCTGATGCTTGACACCTAGCTCCATGTCATCAGCCATGACTTCTGTCCTTATTACAAAATAAGGACAAAATAAGGACTCTCCTTTTTATGGAGAGGTTTTTTTGTTTGTTTGTTTGTTTGAGGCAGGGAAGGAGACCACCTTACTCCTGTTGTTTCCATACTAAGTCCTCTTAGTTGATTGTAACAGACCAAGCTGACGTGTCTCTGTGAAAGGCTTTACTGGCACTTGGTACTGTGTATTCAGCACTCTCCAGGAGAGGTCCTAGCTTGATATGGCTACACTGGATGTGCAAGCAAACATCTTTCATCTTTTTTTCTCACAGCCCTTTGGAGTTTCTATGTGAGCTTGTTCCAGGTGTGACAGTGTTTAGAATTTCTTTTAATAAAGCCAAATGCTTTTTGCTGGGCACTGATGAACTACAGCAGCTGCCTTGTGATACCACAGTCCTGAAATTGCTGAAAGATACTAAGTGGCAAATATTCTTGTTGCAGGGTGAAAGAGATCAGTCCTCATAATGGAGGTGGCGAAACACAGAATCAAATGGAGATTGAGGAAGCAGAAATGAGAGAAGAAAGCTCAGGTCTTCGTCGCAGCGTATGTGTGTGCAGTGGGCTGAAAAGATCTCAAAGCTGGAAACAACTTGCTGTTCTTACTTAAGCTGTTTTCTTGCAGCTGTCCAAGGACGAGGAGGAAGATCTCTGTCCCCACCTGTTTAATTTCCGTGAAGCTATGAGTCAAATTGGTGAACGGGAGGAGAAGGTTGTAGAACAGCTTCGAGAACTGAGACAGGTAAAGAGGGAAGCCCAGCTCAAGATGCTTTGTCATGCTGACAGCAGCTTGCTTTGTCTGAACCCAGTGCTGCTGGGTAGGCTGTGGGCTGTAATTAAATGGTATTACATTTCCCTTACTGCTGTTTTGTTTTTTTTTTTTTCCCCTGTGGTTTCTTGCCCAACAGGTAAAACTGGGGAATTCTGGTGCTTGTGACCAGCCAGTCCCTGTCTCTTCCACTTAGCAACTTCCATCTGCTGCTAATGAGCACAGACTGATAAAGTTGTCTGTAGAAGCTCAGCTCGGTTGCTTTGGTGTGCCAGACACATTGAAACTTGACTTTCTAGAAAATCAGTTTCTTACTGTGTTCATTCTTGTAAATACAGAAAATGACAACTGAACTTGACTACCTCCTGGGAATCACAGAACAACCAGACTACGACCTTGAGACATTTGTGAGCAGAGCTAAGTACTTCATAGAAGAGAGCTCAAGAAACTTTCTTAGTGCCAGAGGTATGTTAATGCTTCTTGAGGTAGTGTCTACTCAGGAGATGTGTTCTTAATCTGCACTTCCACTAATCTTTTTTTTTTAACTCTGAAGTAACACCAGCCTGTATCTTATACCTCTGGTCACTCCTAGCTGATCACCAGGCTGGACTGGTCTTATTGTCTGCACTTCCAGAGTAAACAGAGCATCAGCTGAACTGCTGAGTGGAGCAGTTGGGCCAGGGAGTTCAGTTTTCAGATCAGTAACCCTGTCACTCCTCTCTTCCTTCACAGAAACACTGGATGCTCTGGAAGTAGCCATGCAACTAGAAGAGCAAGCCAGCAAAAAGATAAGAAAGCAGAGGCATCAGTAAATACAGCAAGACCTGGTTTGCAAGCAATCTTCTGTATGTCTTGGACGTTTGTCAGTGGTTTGTGTAACTACTATTAAATGCAGTAGGGTGCCTGAGAGATGCAAACCTTGCAGCCTATCTCTCTTCGTGTCTTGTATCGGGTACTCTGTAGAGACTCTGCTGGAAAGCTCCCCTTCAAGGCCTGGGGGAGGAGGGCTGAGAGTCTGCTAGATATGTTTCATATCTGGTCCTTTATTAATGACAATGGACTTCTATTAGAGAAGTAGATACACGTACAACTTTCTAATGTACATGTAATTTTTGATTCCAGATGTGCTTGAAAACACTGCAGAACTTTTTCTAGGAAGAAAATGGACTATATGTAATGGTTTAAAAAAGATAATCAGTATTTTACGATGTTTTTTCAATTAAATAAATGTTCCTGTATTTAATTAACTTCAACCTTAAAACATTTCTTGCTGATGTTTGCTAAAGTCTTTACAGTCCCTGACGACTGTCTAGTGCTGTAGAGGTACCCTAATTTCTTAGTAGATTTATTTTTGAAGTCTTTACACTTGTAATGTTTGCATAAAAATAATTTAAAATAAATGTTCTCTTTTAATTGAAATCCTGTGGCGTAGAACTTCCCAAGCAAGGGGGGAAAAAGGGCCTCTAAACAAGCCTCCTCTACTTCAGTAAAGCTCAATGTTTCAGGGAGTGGATCAGCTCTTACAGCAGCAGGCAGGTAACACCCTGTCACTCCCTCCCACCTAAGTAGTTTAGTTGGGCTTCAGGAGTGGCCCAGAATGTTAATTCATGTACTAGTCAACATGCTGCATAAGAAGCCATGTTCAGCAGTCCATCAAAGCCTGTATTCGAGGGCAGAAGAGTAAAGCTGCTACTGGCTCAGCTGTAGCAAGTTGGGATCCGTGACCCTTGTGTGTGTGGCCTGGTCTAGATAGCCCCACACATCTTATTCTCTGGAGGTGAGCAGGTAGAGGGGCCAGGATGGAGGATAGACAAATAGGAGAGAGGTGATGCTGATGGGTGCCTCTTATTTGTTCACTGTAGGGATTATCTCCAGAAGGACAAAATTACCCCAAGAACTCCAGTGTGTAGACATACAAATACCAGAGTACATAAAGACCAATCTATCGTTACTCACTCTTGCCCTGGACCCCAGCCCTGGTCTCCTGGCTGCCTTCTACCACAGACTATTCCCTTTAATTTCAGAGGGAGATACTAGTCCAAAACAACTGGGGCTTTTAAGTGACTGAGGCCAGTTCTATGCCTACCTTCTGCAGATTGCATCTTTGTCATGTCTCTGGGGCTGTCCACTAGATTGGAGGCCAATTCTTCAGCCTGGACTGGATCTATTTTTGTGTACCAGGTCTCAGGACAGTCCTGGAAGAGGCAGCAATAGTGTTAGGTTATCTTGCAGTACCTGGTGCAGCATACTAAGACAGCAGCACAGTGAGAGCGAAATGGCTGTTGGGCCCTATTGAGCTTAAATTAAAGCTGCTGTTTCTGGTGTTACTACTCTTAGCTATGTCTAGTTTTGATCAGAGGTAGCTTGTGGTAAAACAGGAGGGACCTGGGTGCAATGAAAAAAGTGCTGTCTCTGCTCTTCTCCGGACCTACTTTGGCTTAGTGCTCTGTATCACCACTCCAGGAGCTAGAGGCAAGAGGGCCCTGATTTTGCAGGAACTTGAGTCACCTCTTGTCACATCCTGACAGAGATCTTGCTGTTGCAGAAGTTCTTCAGGTGTCTGAGATCCATCCTTGCTCTCTTCAGGGTTTGAACTAGAGAAATGATCTTTTTGAGCACAGCCTGAAGGTGAAAACTTCTCCAAGGGGGGCTTGGTTCATTTCTGTGCTCTTACTCAAGACAGGATTTTTTTCTCTATGAGGAGTACAGTCCCTACACCTCTGCAAAACAGATCAAGCTCTTCTAATGCCACTGATAAACTCTGTTAGGGAGGCATGCTTACCTTAAAGAGCTGGAACAGCATGTGTCCTACTGCCTTCCTTACATGCTCCTCCACAGAGGGGTATGTGCGGACAAAGTACTGCAATGGAACAGAGAGTTAGTGTATGGGGATAAGGGATGTGCAAGTGTATGGAGGTAGAACTCCGTGTACAGGAACTTGTTGGTCCTTGCTCTGAGCCCTACCTTATTCCACTCCGCTGTCTTCTCAGGTGAACAGCATACTGACCCTCTGCATTACCAGACAGGTCACTCTGAGTAGGCTGATTTTTCAGCTGTCCCTCATTCTGTGCCTTTCCCACTGCTCACAGTATGGACCTTCGTCTTCCTAGTCATCACAGATCTGTGCTGAGGCAGCCAAAGCTCTTTAAGCAGCACCAGCAGGACAAAATAACCTGCTTACAATTCTGTACTGGTGTCTAGATCCAGGGAAACTACCTTGGTGTGCCTCAGGGCAAGCTGCAGAGTAGAACAGGTGTGTGAGGGTGAACACTGGCTGCCCAGTACCCTCTGTGGTAGCTGGCAGGAGAAAGGCAAACAGAACAAGTAGTACAGCTATTTCCAGAATGAAGTGCTACTCCTGCCTTTGTGAAGTCTGTCTGCTGTGCTCAGAAACAAACAAAAACCTCACTAAAACAGTGCATGGAGCATTTCTGTTCTGTGTTCTGGAAAGAGAACGCATGCTATGATGTCATCTATCTGTATTGCATACCATCACACTCACCTCCAGGGAGATGCTGGCATTTCTCTGGCTGAGTGGATAATCCAGGTTCCCCACTGCAACCATCAGGCCATGCACAACTTTCAGCTGGATCAGCTCTTCAGCCACTTCTGCTGACTCCTTGGCTAATACACTGCAATAAGACAGGCCATCAGCCTCTACCCTGTGCAGGGGAAGGGGCACATAATAAATTGAGCCTGGCCCTCTTGGTACAGACCTGGTGTGATCCCCATGGAAGCATCAACGGACAGAAGACAGAACCTCATCTGACTGGCTATGCATTGTCAATCACTTAGTGGTTTTTCTGCTTGTTTGTTTGTTTTTGGCTCACAAACAGTTATTACGTTATTGGTAGGAGCTTCCTGGCGCATTATAAATTCTAGAATGTGCAGAATGTGCATGAATGTGAAGAACTCAGGGCTCAAAGCAGAACCACCACCAATGTCACTGCTTTTGAGACTATGTCCCTGTACCCACTAAACTCATCTGCTTTTGTAGAAATGTTCTCATAGCACTATCTTGTGGACGCTGCAGGAAATTCATAATAAATGCATAGACTTTAGCACAAGCAGCCCAATGTAAGGATTCTGTGGTCAATCACAGGTACTACATTCTTCCATTGGGTGGCTGAGGTCTCTGTGCCAGAGACTCACTGCCTCCGATCAAAATTTTTTTCCTAAAATCTGACCTAAATCCCCCTCTTTTAGCTTAAAGCCATTCCTCCTTGTTCTATCTGTTCACACTGTGTAAAAAGTTGGTACTCCTCCTACTTGTAAGCTCCCTTCGAGCACTGGAAGACTGTGATTGTGTTCCTGGAGCCTCCAGGGTAAACAAGCCCAGTTCCCTCAACCTTTCTTCTTAAAAGAGGTGCTCCACCTTTGTGTCCTCCTCTAGACCCACTCCAACAGCTCCGCATCCCTCCTGTGCTGGGGGCCCCAGGCCTGGACACAGCGCTCCAGATGGGGCCTCACAAGGGCAGAGCAGAGGGGGATGGTCCCCTCCTCCTTCCTGCTGCCACCCCTGTCGATGCAGCCCGGGGTACAGCTGGCCTTCCAGCATGCAGGAGCACAGTGCTGGCTCATGTCCTGCTTCCTGTCCATCGGGACCCCCAAGCCCTTCTCTGCTGGGCTGCGCTCAAGGAGTCTGCACGTGTATCTGGGATTGCCCTGACCCAAGTGCAACACCCAGCACTTGGCACTGCTGAACCTCGGCAGGTTCTCATGTGCCCACTGTTGAGTCTGTCCAGCTCCCTCTGGCCGACTTTCCTCCCCTTTATTGTGTCAACTGCACCACTCAGCCTGGTGTCATCAGCAAACCGCGGACGGTGCATCTGATCCTGCTATACACCTCCAGCTCAAAGGAAGATGTTTCTCTGCCTCCCCCCCGCACGCTCCTGTGGGTTTTACTCCAGCTTTCCTTACCCGACGGCTTTAGCAGCAGCTGCCTGCTGAACGTGGGCCGGCATCGGCTCCCTCGGGCGCAGCGTTGGGTCTGCAGGAGGAAGACGAGGAAAGTGAGAACGATGCTTTGACACATTTATAAGACGCGAGAAGGGAGGGCAGGCCGTACGACGTCACAGCACAACCCGCACAGCGCGGGCCGCCGCGGCCTGCCGTAGCACGGCTTTTACCTTCGGCGCGCGCTTTGCTCCGGGGCGGGGTCAGCAGCGCCACCAGGCCGGGCAGCAGGGCGGGCGGGGCGCGGCGGGCGAGGGCGAGTAGCAGCTGGGTGCCTGGTGAGACATGGGCGGTTGTGAGCGCCAACGCGGGGCGACACTGGCGCCAGACAGCGCTCCTTAGTTCTCTCTGTCCTTAACCACAGCAGGGACAGCTCCGCCGAAGCGGAGCCTCAAAAAATTCCACGACACTCGTGCTTGTTCCTCTCCACGGAAATCTTTAGTAAAAGGCGAAAGATTTATACGATCTGAAGAGAAACCAGAGTATAACCCCACCCCTGCCCGGCCCCGTGCCCACTGCCCGCCCGCCTCCCTGAGCACACGGCGACCCGCTCTGCTCCGCTGCGCTCGGTTGCACAGTTTGACACCGCGCCGCACCGCGCCGCACCGCGCCGCCCCGTCAGTTCCCGGCGGCCGATCACGCGTGGGGCGGTGGAGCCGGACGGGACGCACGGGACCGCGCGCTGCACGCTGGGTATGCTAACGAGCCGTATGCTAATGACGATGCGCCACGCCCCCCCACGCTCACATGAGGACGGTGCCTCGCTCCGCCGAACGGAACGGCGGGGCGGGCCTACAGCGCGGCGCGGGCGGGCGGGACTCTGGGTGTGCTGGGGAGCGGTGCGGGCGGGCAGCACGGAACTGCGCTAACGAGGCTGAGAAGCAGAAGGTGAAACAAAGTCGGAACGTCCCAGCAGCAACGGGAGCTCAAGCACCGCACCCACGAACGTTCGCTCTGTCGTTAAACCACAGCAGGGACAGCTCCGCCGGAGCGGAGCCTCAAAAAATTCCACGACACTCGTGCTTGTTCCTCTCCACGGAAATCTTTAGTAAAAGGCGAAAGATTTATACGATCTGAAGAGAAACCAGAGTATAACGCTGTCCCTCTCTCGGCCCTCATCCCCCTGCCCGCCCGCCTCTCTCAGCGCACGGCGATCTCCTCCTGCCCCGCTCTTTTCTCCTCCTCTCCCGGCCCCGCGCTCCCCCGCACCGCTCCCGGCTCCGCAAAGCCCCGCGTTGCCCGGGGGAGCGGCGGCGCAGCACAGGGCTGTCGGGGTCGCTCCGCCGCGGTGCACGCTGGGTATGCAAATAGGACGCATGTTAATGAGCCGCAGGCTAACGACCGCCTACGGAGCCCCGCGCGGGGCGGCCTTCCCCCCACCACGCCGTGGGAGGGCTCGTACCTTCGTACTGCACCTCGGGGTGCGCCGAGCCCAGCACTGCCAGCAGCGGCGCCACTACAGCCGAGGGCGTCTCTCCCAGCAGCTCCTGCGGGACAAGGGCGGGTGGTGGGTGGTGGGTGGTGGGTGGTGGGTGGTGGGTGGTGGGTGGTGGGTGGTGGGTGGTGGGTGGTGGGTGGTGGGTGGTGGGTGGTGGGTGGTGGGTGGTGGGTGGTGGGTGGTGGGTGGTGGGTGGTGGGTGGTGGGTGGTGGGGGGCGGGTGCGCGCAGTGCTCCCCGCTGTCCCCCCATAGGCATGGGGCAGCCCTAACTAGTGCTGGGAATGGGGCCAGGCCTTTCTCTCTGGCATAATGTAGCCTGCCCAACTCCCGGGGGCACAAGGGAGGCACCCTTTGCCCCCACCGCTCACCTGCATGCTGTGCAGTGTCTGCAGAGCCAGCTGCTGGGCACGGGGAGAGCCGCATGGCAACACTGCCAGCAGCCCGCTGTACACTTGGTTCTGGTACTTGGGGTTGCCGCGGCCCAGAGAGGCCAGCAAGATCTGCACCTCCTCCTGAGCCTCTGCTGAGCTGCAGGTGGCCAGCAGCTCAGCAAGGGATCGCACACCTGCATGGAGAAAAAGGCGCTAAGTCGCGTGCCGGCAGCACTGCTAAGGGTCCCTCTGCTGCTCCACCTCTCTTGGAGAAAGCTGTGACAGCAGGTATCACCCTATAGCCACCGGCAACGTGAGCCATAATCCCAACTACAGGGCGATAAATGGTGTTTGGCTTCTACCATACAGGAGTGAAAAAAAAAAGAATAGGAAAAATTATTCTACTGTTCTTTCAAAACATACGTGCCACAAAAGCCTCAGCCTCCAGCGGGGAAGGCTGGGAAGGTTTGCAGTAGGCAACTGTGGGTAAGAATAGAAACTGCTGTGTGATTTTTGCTGTAGCAGTTGTGAGCAGTGGGACAGCAATAGTGCATCAAAAGAAATGCCTGTAAAGAAAGTGAGCTCATTAAAAACAGAGCAGGGGATGAAATATGACCGCTCAACAATAGCTGAGCTCTGAGCTCCCTCCAGTCAGCCCAACAGCTGCAGCAATCTGCTGTCCGGCAGCAGAAGAAGGAGTGGCTCGGTGCTGCAAGCAGCCCTGGGACCAGAGGTCAGGGAGAACAGCCTCACCTGAATCAGGAAAAAAGCACAGGTGGACACACTGCCTACCGTAGCTTTCACAAATGAGCTCCTTGTACTTCCTGCCAGCGTCTGCAATGAGCTGAAGCAGCTTTACAGACTCCCTTTTGTCCTCTTCTTTCAGGTGGTTCAACCCTAGTATTTCCAGGAGCATCAAGACACCTCCGGTCTCCAGAAATTCAATAATGTATCTGCGTCTGCACGGATGGAGGAACAAAGCCAAAAACGTCACCTGCTTTGGAGCACATCTTCCTGAGCGAGCCCAGCTCGCTGTAGCAGTGCGATGGCACCTGGACACTGTGAACACGAGGCATCTGAGGCTCAGCTGGGACAGAGCTTCACCTGTGTACACCTACAGCTGTACCCCGTGCTCGTTTCAGATGTTAAACACAGGCACAGAAAACCCCATCTCTGCGCTCAGACTTCAAGTGTGCTCTTTCCACACTGTGCCAATGACCCAGTGGTTCTGGATGTGGGCAAGCTGTGGATTTGGATTTGAGAGCATCTTATAGCAAGCCACAGCCCCATTGCCTGCATGCTGCTTCCCCACAGCACCTCTCAGGCAGTGACATTCTGTACTCACCCGCTTGCAGCAGATAAGAAGACGCCAATGGACTTGAGCAGCTTGTTGATGCACGTGCTGTACATGTAGCTGTTTGATAAGGCTAAGGAGAGAATTACAGACTGCCTCAGTGTTCCCCAGGCAACTCTGGCAATGTGGGGGTCTGAACCTGGGCTTTGTTAGAGGGAGCACGGACCTTCCTCTCAAAGGCATGCAGGGGTTCCTGATTCCAGGTTCCTAATTCTAGGTCCCTGAAAGACAGGCTATGTGACTTTAGTTCCATTTTCAGATAGGTTTTTTTTTTTTTCCTTTTCTGCAGCTGGATTTTTATACAGAAGCTTATTCTTTATACAGTTTTTTTTTTAGTAGAGACCTTTCCCTTCCTCTCCATCCCATTCCCATGTACCACCTTCAGCTTTCCAAGGAAACAGATACGTCATCCTCAGCCATGCTGCCAGGCGAGCCAGAAACAAGCTGGCTCCCTGGGAGAACTCCAGCTCCAGCTCTGGTTCTGTCTTGCCATTATTGCTTCTAATGAAGTTGTCTAGGATGTGGCTTCGAGCAACTTTGTGAGCTTTGTCCCATTCTTGAAGGAAAATCATGAGCTTCCTGATGGCCTCCTGCTCTTTGGCAGACGTCATGATCTCTTCTGCCTGGAGAAAAATGAGAAAGTTTAATAAAGGCCTTAAAAGTAGGAAAAAAAAATCTGTATTAAGGAACTACCATCATATTGAATATCTCTGGAATTCTAGCCATTAATTATGTCTCATTTTCCTTTATACTCATACATTCTCTTTTCTGCTGTGTTAATACAGTCCCTTTGATGTTACTAATTCTCCCCTCTTTGGTTTCTTGCTAGCTTCACAACAAGAACACTACCTCTCATATCTGACCTACCCAAAAGTAAGTAGGGTGACATGAGGGCACAGATGGGTGCGGATTCATGGGGAGTGACAGGGTCAATGGTCAATGCCTGGTAGTGCAGCGTGGCTCTCCTGTGAGTGCACTGAGCTGTTTGAACTGGGCCTAAATCCACTCCAGCAGGATGTGCTTGGCCTTGGCAAAGGGAGAGTGCCTGGGGACCTTCGGCACGGTGGACTTTAGCTCTGTTTTGTTGTCGTCTAATTTCTACGTGCTCATTCTGAGATTTCAATGGTGCATCATGAAAAAGCTATGAATATCTGAATTAATAAGAGTTTTGTGGAAGAAAGCAGGAGATCCAGAAACACCCCTTGTCTGCACTGCCTTCAATCCCATAAAGCAGTCTGCACTTTACCAAATTACTTTGCCACACTTTTATTTCAGTATGAAATCCCCCCCAGCCCAACGTGAGCATGCACTCAGCGGGGGCTGACATCCCCACAACATGCACCCAAAATATCTTTCTACTGCTGTTACCAGGAGCTGCCTGAGAGGTGGAAATGCATCTCGGCCGTGGGAAACAAACAAGCAAAGGCTTCAGAAAGTTGGCAAGGGGACTGAGAACTACGATGAGATGAAATTTCGTTTGGGAATTAACGGCCTGTGCTCTGCAAAGAGCCCGTGTCCTTGGCAGGGCGTTCTCAGGATCTCCTTTGCGGGGAAGCAGGTTGAAAATAAATCCATTTTCCCAAAATAGTTGTGATTGAAAGTGTTATTAGCCATAACAAATGTTAGTGCTGACAGGAGAATGGCCTGCTAGGGGCCTCTGGTGAAACAGTCAAGTGAAAGTCATATTTCACATTACTGCAAGCATTTTCCTGTGATTTACAGAATATTTGTGAAACGTTACTTGCAAAGCACATGATTGATATGGAGAGAACAGCCAGCGAGCAGAAGGAGCCTGCGTTTCACAGGGACCGTCTGCACGAAATTTACAGTCCCATAAAGAGCTGCTCTGTCCTCGGCAGAGATCTTGTTAAGAGAACTTTACAGCCTGAGACGTCCCCAAATTGATTCTAAATTAAGGCTTCTATATTTATGTTGGAGAAGCCGCCGGTATAACGCTGTCCTATTCGAAAGCCGCGCTCACGGCCGCTATTCAGAAATAGCAGCACAGTCCTGAGGACGCGAGGGCGGCGGCGGCACGAAGGGCTGCCCGCCAGGGCACGGCAAAGGAGAACGAGCTCAGGAAGGACGGCACCGGTCTGCTGGAGGTGCTGTGGTCCATCAGTCCTGGCTGCTGCCGGAACAGCCCCTGCCCACATGATACTCGTTCATTCCGTGCTACAGCGCATCCTGAAAACGTTTTGACGATCGCCGCCCCGCATCCCGCCCTATGGCCCCACACGGCCCGCCCGGCCCCGAGGCCCTCACCTTCCCGCGATGGGCGGACACCCGCCGAATAACCGACACCTAGTCCAGCCAATCCTCGCACTCCGCGGCCTCCTATCGGACCAATAGAAGGGAGCTTTCTCGCCCGGTAGGCGGGACGCCCGACCCACGGCTGTTGCTAAGGGCGCGTTGCTACGGAAGTGGGAGGCGGGGAGGGGAGGGGAAGAAGGATGATGCGAGAGAGGTGCTTTTCCTTCCTATTGGCTGCGAGCCGTGAGGGGGCGGAGCTTCCGGTGGGGAGAGCGGAAGCAGCGGGTGGATGCGAGGCGGGCAGCGGGCAGTGATGGGGGTTCGCGGGCTGAAGGCAGCGGTGGAGCTGGCGCCGGGGGCGGCCCGCGGTGCGGGACCGGGATCGAGAGGAGATCTGGGGGGGAACCGGGGGCGGAGAAGGCTGAGCCTGAGGGGTTCGTGGGGTTGGGGAGCGTGGGACCCGGGTTAGAGGGTCCGTAGGATATTTGGAGGTGCATAGGGGGAGCGAGGCCTGTGGTGCTCCTGAGAGTGCTGTGCTCGCCCAGACAGGAGCCGTGAGCTCGCAGCGGGCTGGGGAGCCGCCTGTTACGTTCAGCTTTGTCACCAGGCAAGTTGCTTCACCTTCAGATCCTAGCAGACTTGAGGCTAATTAATTTAAAATGTTTCAGAGAGCAGCACGGAGAAAGGGCACGCAGATGGGCAGCCCGTGGTGATCCTTCTGGGCTGGGCAGGCTGCCAGGACAGGCATCTGGCCAAGTACAGCGCATTGTACAGTCAGAAGGTGAGCAGCTTGCTTCTGCTTTCGTGGCACTGTCGTACAGCTCTTGGGGACACTGTCCCTGTTCTACGCTGTCTTTGTGCTGCGTGTTGGTGAAATCGCTGTAAACCCTCTGCATCTGAAGTCATTAGGTGGTGAGCTCCTGTTGTCCTTGTAAGATCCTTGTGTCCAGCAGCAGTGTTACCTAACAGCTGCTGATGTCATCTTTGTGCATGCAGCTGAGATAAAAATACTGCTTTGGAGAAGTTTTCTGTGGTTCTGTGAATCACTGGAGTGTTCTGAGGCTTTTAAAGTTAACTGCATTAGCTGTCCAAGCAGGGAAATATGTTGGGAAAGGAAATGCATTTACTGCTTGCTAATGGGCAGCAGCGTAGACTGCAAGGCCAGGCTGGGGCACGGCAGATGTATCAGCAGCTTTTGCTCTTCCTGCTTTTCCTTTCTCTGCTGATAGTTCATATAAATGTTCATTCAAATTTGTTGTAACTTGTCTGAAACAGGTGCCCTGTGACAGAAATACCTGCTTGTTAGCAACTTGAACTAGAGGTCTGTCTAGATGCTGGTTCTTTAAATTATGGTGTCTTCCTTTCTAATCATTTATCTTACTGGAATGTCCCCAGCTTGTGGTATTGGGAGGTATTTGATTTTTTTTTTTTTTTTTGGTCAGCATGCAAGAATGTTCATCCAAACTTGTTTCAACTACAGGTGGTTAAATTTGTTCATAAACAAGTGTATTGTTAATGTGTAATCCAGTGTGAGAGTCACAGATCGGTTGGTTCTGGTGAAGAATTAATTGTTAAGCAATTATTGCGACTAAGAAATGCTGCTGATTGGGTGAGGCTCACATTCTGTGGCAGCACGCCAGCTGCTGTGGAAATACTTTTCTGTCGGAAAGTTGCTGATATTGAGAAAGGATAGGAAAGCTTTTCTTAGAGCCTTAATGAGGAAGTGGCTGCAACCCTGGCAAGGCAGTATAGAGAGCTTGGTTTGAAGAACTTGATATCTTCTCTTCTGCTTAATTCAGTGACAAGGGAGCTCTGGGAGGGAAGGCCGCCTTGGTGCCTTGGCCTTGTGTTTGTCGGTGCATAATGCCGCTGAGTTTAGGTGACAACAGAAGATTGGAAAGGATCTGGGACATCATTCAAGCCTGCTGCTGTTGTAGAAGGCTTTTGATAAGTCTTTGCACTGTTATGATTAATAGAATCCCATTCGTAGAGTTTAGAATATTCTGAGTTGGAAAGGACCCATGAGGATCATCGAGTCCAACGCCTTCCGTGCTGATGCTTTGCTAATAGCACTAAAGAGTCTCTTGGCCCCATGATTTCGGTTGGAAATGTGTTCCAAATGTCAGTTTGTGGTACAGCAGCTCGCCTGCTCCATGTGATTTACAGCCCGAACCAAATACGTGTGGGTTCTCTTTCTGTTTAGGGGTGCACTGTCATCCGCTACACAGCTCCGTGGAGGACGATATTCTTCGCTGAGAGCTTTGGCTTCAAATCCCTCCACACGCCAGCCAAGAGACTCCTGGAGCTGCTCTTTGACTACAGCATTGAGAACAGGCCGGTGCTTTTCCACGTCTTTAGCAACGGTGGTGCCATGCTCTACCGTTACATCATTGAGGCGCTTCACACTCAGCAGCCCTTTAAGAACCTCAAAGTGGCAGGCGCTGTTTTTGATAGTGCCCCTGGCAGAAGGAATTTGAGAGGAGCCCTTCGTGCCTTGGCCACTGTCCTGACATCCACGAACGTGCTGCTCAGGTATCTCCTTATGCTCACTTTTGCTACTGCAGTTGTCCTGCTGCAGATCCTGCTGTACCCACTGACTCGCTTCATCCACGAGAGCCACTATGATGCCCTGCTGAAGGCGCCCTCCCGGTGGCCGGAGCTTTACCTCTACTCCCAGGCGGATGCCATCATCAGTGCCAGTGATGTTCAGCACATGGCTGACGCGCGGCAGCGGCTCGGTGTCCCTGTGAAGGCTGTGGACTTCACAGATTCGGCTCACGTCAGCCATCTGCGGGTGTATCCCACCTACTACAGCACCCTCTGCACGACTTTCCTGTCTGACTGCGTCAGGACCTTGCCTCCTTAGTGCTGTAACGGCCTCTGCTTGCTCAGATTGTGAGGAATGCCATCCCCTTTGCCTTTATGTCGTTGAAGGGAGGAAAGCAAAGACTTTGTGCTTTTCTTCCCCATCAGTTACAAGTCTGAGAGCCGGCCACAACATAGCAAAAAGTAGATCTGGAGTAATTTAAACAACTGAAGGTGCTGCAATCTGAGCCCTGAGGTGGTGGTTTTTTTCACACGGAGTGTTGCTTGTTTCCTCCTGTCTTGTGATGTTCTCCATATCTGTGTGTCGTGTCCAGTGTGATGTTCTGTGGCCTGGTACTGATTCTACAATACAGCAGACACTCTGCAGTCTCTTTGTTTTCTTCCCCTCTCTGCTGTTTCTTTCATTTTGCATTGAGCAAACAGAAGTAGCTCTCCAAGATTTCCCTCATCTCTTGGCATTGTCTGGTTCTATGAAAGCTCTGAGAGCAGCCAAAGCACTGATTCCCTCGCCCTGGAGCAGACCTCAAATGTTTGTGGTAACTTTTGTGTTCTTGAACCAAAAAAAAAAAATCGTTAACCTTTTGGATGTGCCTTGTTTCTTCTCTGTCTTGTCGTGTGTTGTTCTCAGTACTTTTGCTTTCCTGGGGAGTGTTTATTGCTGCTTGTCTTTGAGCAGCCTGGATTGTGCATCCAACCTTGGTGATTCTACAGTCTGAAAATACAGGGAAACAGCACAGCTGAAATCCAAAAGATCCCAGAAACTGAAAGGTGGAGCCACAGAGGAAAATGAAACTGTCTTTTGGAGCTGTGGTTGGTACTGGGTGTTCCTTAACTCACTTCCTGTGGGAGCCAGCCCACAGCTGACCGTGAAATCCAGTGTTTTTCCCGTAATGTTCTCTTTGGATGATCAGTCTTTGCTGCCCGTGTACTGGTGGTACAAAGCACAAATGCAGCTCCTTGCACTGCCCTTCAGCCACATTTGGCTTTGGCTGTTTACTGGGGGGGAGCGAAGGAGGATAAAGGCAGAGAACAGCTGTAAGGTGAGAGGTTACCCTGTGTCGGCACCGTGTGCTCATCGCGGCCAGCTCTAAATCCCTGCCCCGAGATGGGCAGGAAGGAGCCCCGGAGTTGAAACGTGCGGCTTTAGAGGGTGTGTGGGGTACGTGAGAGCTGCCTGAGGGGTCGGCCTGAGGGCTGCCTTCCCGGGACGGCAAACGGGCTGTCAGCTCTCGTGGCCGAGGCCGGCGGCGGAGCGCGGACCGCCAGGGGGCAGCAGCGGCTCTCGGTGCGGCGTGCGGGGAGCGGCGCCCCGCGATCCTCCCGGCGCCGCCCTCCCGGTGATGGATGAGCTGCCGATGCGCTATTGATAAGGAATTAACCTCGAGCCCTGCCTGCTGCGGTGCCGGTGGAGCAGGAGCAGAGGACGCGCGTCCCGCCGGGAACCGCGCTGGGGAAGGAGAGCCCCGCGGGGGGTCCCCACGTGCGGTACCCCGAGGGCCGGCCCTGCCCCGTGCCGCGCTCCGAGCGGTTTGTTTAATTAAGTGTTTTGCCTAATGGGATTGCCTCATTTCCATCACAAAGCGGCGGGCTGTCATTAGGTGGGCTCCCTCATTCATTACCGTTAATTAGATATGGATCCCCCAGAAGGGTGATGGACGAGGCCCCCGCCGCCCGCTATTACGCATTTGCATTTTCTCAATAACACCTCCGATACATCACCGCCCTCCGCTTCCCAGAGAGATTTCAAATACAATATCGGTGAGGGCGGAGGGCTGGCGGTGGGCTGGGGTGTGTAGGGGCGCTCCCAGCCCTCACTGCGCCCTCTGGGCCGGAGCAGATGGGAGAACACCGGAACGCCCCCCTCTCCCCCCCACTTCGGCCTTGGGGATCCCGTCCCGCGGGACGCAGCCATCGATCCGTCTGCGCCATGTTTGTACACCGACAGCACCGGCGCCAGCCCCCCCTGCACCCCCAGCTGCTGCGGTAACCCCACACCGTGACCCCAAATGCAGCACTATGGATCTGTTGGGGCTGGGGGCCTCCCAGCAGAGCGCCCAAGGATGTGGATGCCCACAGGGGGAGCCCCCCCGGGATGTGTCCTCTGCTGGGGGTCCCAGCCGTGCTGGGGCGGCGACGCAGCACTGCAGGTAGATGCCACCCCAACACCCCCCCCGGTCCCCGAAAGGAGAGACAGAGAGAGCAGGGCGGCACGCCCCAAAGATTTATACGTGTTTAATTAATGTCAAATGTAGTTTACAAACGGGAGTGACAAGTACCTCTTTGTATAATATACACCGACACACAATCATCGACACACCGCAATATCGCTTTGTGCAACTGGGTTCTTTGGGCAGAGATAGGTAACTCCGGGCTTTTACTTACTATTTTTTTTCCTTTTTCTTTTATTTTCCTTCTTCTTTTTAAATGGATTAAAATCGTTACAGGAGAGGCGGTGAGTCCCCCTTGTTCTCCCCCCCCTTTATCCCTCCCCCCTTGAAAACAGGGGATGGCTTTACAATAAAAACATAAGACCAAAAAGAACCAAACGAAACAGAAAAGAACCGAAATGAAGGAACAAGGATGGGTTACGTATGGTTTTACACATCGGTACACAGAGCTGGTCCGCAACACCCACCAGGAACCCTGGCTCCAAGGAAGGGCAGGGAGGGAGGAATCTGCCCTCCAGCCCACTGCACTCCAACTGGGTTGTGATCCCAGCTGGGCCCTCAGCTGTTTTCTCTGTTGGAATCTCCCAACCCTTGGTGCCCCCTGAAAAAGCAGGTCCCCCCCATCACCCTTCCTAGCAGGGAAAGCTGCAAATCCTCCATGGCAAAGGCTGCTGAGAGCACGGAAAGCCGGACACCGTGAGCTGGATGCTTAAAGAACACAGATCCTGGTTTGGGGGGATGCAGTGGAATCATTCTGAAAACACTGCAAGAGGCATTGAGGAAAACAGCTCTGCAAAAAAGCACCAGGCTCATGGCATGCAGGTGGCAAAGGGTCCCTGAGGACACGCTGTGCCCCCACAGGACATGCTGTGCCCCCACAGGACATGCTGTGCCCAAGGCGTGCTTGATCTTCCAGTGACCCCATGGGGTCCCAGCTCCCCTTTACCGGCCACAGCCAAGATGCTTCATGCCCAGAACCAAGAGTGCATGGCTGTGCTGCCCATGCAGGGCTGTGCCCAGAGTGATGCCTCAGGTATGGGGAGAGCAGCATCCCCCGCGGGGAGCTCGGACCCCAGCAGACCCCACGGTGAGAGGAGAGCCGAGGCAGGGAGCACGCATTCACAGGAAACGGATCAACAGCTGCTTCTTGGGTCCTGTAAATGAAAAGGAACAACAGAAGAGGCCAGATGGCAGCTTTGGTTACGGCTGAGGGTACGGGCGATGGGGATGAACATGAGGGACGGTGTGGAAGAAGCTGGGGCTGTGCGACCTGCGACCTCAGGCTGGCACAGCCCTGCCCCACAGCACGTGGAGCAGCTCCAGCCAGAAAACGAGACCTAGAAGGGAGGAGAGCAACGCCAAGCCCAGCCAACCCTGCGCCCAGGGGGGAGGAAGGGGTGCAGCAGAGCCTGGGGCAGAGCTCTATGGGGCTGCTGGGCCCCCACCCTGCCCGGCCCCCTGGGGGGAGCTGAGAGCCGCGTGGTTCAGGGATAACGATTCTATTATAAATAGCCCCATTAGCTACAACTAATGACAAAAATGCACCTCCTCTACTCCCCATAAGTTCTGTAAGTTATGGGCAATGCTACAGCCATTACTAAAAGCTGTTAACTTCATATCTGAATGAGGAAATATACACCACAGAACATTAAACCATTTATATTATATATATGTATATATATACTTTTTTTAAACTAATGACTTTAATGCCAAAACTTTGCTGAACCAAGAAAAATATGGGTTTAATGTTCTCTGCTCATTTTTTTTTCTTTCTTCTTCTTTAAAAAAAATACAACCCAAAAAAGAAAAACAAAAGGGAAACTTATTAGTATGCAATGTTTGAGTCTATCCCATTTATACACAACATTGTAAACATATATAATCTATATTACATGTGCTTCATTTCTGCCTGGGTGTGGGTTTTTTTTTTTTTCTTTCCTTTAAACCTTTTTTTTTTTTTTTTTTAATCACTAGAACACCACAAAAATAAAAAAATAAACCAATAAAAAAACAAAAACCAAAAACAAAACAACCAAACCCAAACGGAACAGAACCAAATCAATAAACCAACCCAATGGAAACCGAACGAAGGACACGAGTTACAGGTTATTTAACATTGCTGCCAAGGGTCCCTTCCCCAGCGTCCTGGGGGCAGAGTGGTCACAACACAGTCTGAAGGAGGAGGGCTCCGAGCCGCGGCGGGTGGGGAACACTGCAGTAAAAAAGGGGTTGCACAACAACGGGGTCGGCTTCGCCCGCCGCAGAGGGGCTCTGCAGGTGGGAGCCGGGGCTCTCGCTGCTCCCGCGTCCTCGAGTCCGTGTCTGGAGTCTCTGGTTTTGTTTCCTTACGTTTTTAAAACGTCTTTTTGTTTGTTTGTTTGTTTTTCTCTTTCCTTTCCTTTTTTCCTGGTCGTTCCTCTCCCCGTGGGTGCGCTGAGCTGAGCCGAGAGCCGCCCTCCTGCTGCGTCCTTCATAAGTAGATGCGCCGAAGGTCTCCGGGGGATGTGATGGTGTTGCACTGGGGACACAGCTTCTTGGCACCCTGCGGGCAGCAGATGGGACGACAGCATGAGCGTGATGCACTGCGGGAACAGCACCAACCAACCAACCCACCACCTCACCTTCAGCCTCACACAGCAGAGCAGGGGCAGCACGGCCAACCCCTGACCCCCCAGCCGGGCTGAGCAGGGCAGAACACAGACCAGCAGCACAGCTGTTGGGGGACCAAAGTGGTTCAGGTGGAATCCCCGCCCTGCTCCCCCCATGCTGTGCACACAGCGGGGCAGAGGTTGGGCCTGCTATGCCCCGGTGAGCTGCGAGCAGTGACCTCCAAGCGGGGCCGCGCAGCGGGAGGCTGACACAAGCAGCACACAGCGTGAACCAGCAGCGGGTGTGCTGCCTGTCACCGAGCCTGACAGCAATGGGGTGTTAACAAGAATCGGGGTCAGCCTCAGATTGGCAGATGTGACAGCCAGCTGGTGGGAAAAATGACAGAGCGAGCTGCCGTGGGGCTGTGCCCATCTCCAGCACCGGCAGCGCAGGAAATGGGGCTGCCCTGACTTCCAGGGCTGAGCACTGCCCCATGCCCCCTCGTGCTGCACAGGGCCACGCTGCTCCATTCTGGGATCTGGAGGAGGATTGTGTGATCCCTGTGCCCCAGGTAGCCTCCCTTGTGCAGGCTGAATCAGCTCAACACGGGACATTTTGGAAGGAAAGATGCCCTGTCCAGGTCCCTCTTCAGCAGCAAAGCAAGGTCACATCTGCAATTCCTTCACGCCCCAGGGAAAGAGAAGATGGGTGGACTTATCCTGCCCGACCCCAGGACCTCAGCCCCTTCTGCACTACATGCTGGTGGCTTTGGGGTTCCACTCTCCCCACGTGAGAGCTGCAGGTGGGCTTTCAGAGCCACGTTTTCAACCACACCAGAAGGCAGGACCCAGCAACACACAGACGGACCCAGTTTGGTTACTCTGCAATACCTGACCTGACCACAGAGCAATGGATGCTTTTTACCTGCACGCAGGGAGGGCTCTTCCTGGACACCTGAGGCCCAGTCCCCGGGTCTCTCTGGAACTCTCTGGCATTCAACAGCTTGAGCAAAAACACTGACTTTGTACCCAGGAGGAATCCTTTTTCTTATAGACAAAGCTATCATCCTCTCCCCATAGCAGTGTGTTAAATTCACAACTGAGTCCTGATTACTCCTTTTTAGACTGAAATCATTTAGAACCCCATTCCTTACACCTGACTTCTGATATCAGTGCACAACATTCCCTGCCACCAGCATTTCAGCTCCTCCGTCTCGCAGAGAGGCACACAAACTTGTACACACACACACAGGCACAATGAAAATGAGTGTGCCCCCCCACTGCTCACCTGCCAGCTGGGGTTACTAAACTTTTCCCTTGAAATGAAAACACTGTGCAATAATAAGTCCCACCTGTCGGCCATTTCTTTCAGTCTTTTTTTTTTTCTTTTTTTTTTTCCAGGTCCTTCTGCTCCTTTCATCATCGCTTCATGGAAAAGCCTTAATGTGTTATAGCTGCGTGTGCTGCAGTAAAGGCCACCTCAGCTTTTCCATTATAAAGCCCACTTTGGAGGGGTTTATAAAGCTCTGCTGCAAGAAGTTTGCTCCGGGGCTGTTACAGAGCAAAGCAAAGGGGTTGGAACGGGGAAGGAGTTTATTTTTTCTCCTCCTTTCTTAATTAAAATTTGGCAAGTGATTGATCCACAATACGGGCTAATCACTTGGGGTAGCAGTTTGAAAAATACATTAACGAGAGCTGAGATGTTGAGAAGTCGTCGGGGCTCACGCGGTGCCAGGAAGGATTGGAGGATTCTGCCTAAAAGCTGCTCTTTAAAATAAAATAAAAAAAATAATTGCGTGATGTCTGCTGCGAATTGACCAAGGGAACAACACCGAAAGGGAAGGGCTCAGGCACCTCCTGCTGTCCCGTGGGGCTGTTTGCAAACAGAATACGCCAAGAGGCACAGAGAAGAAAGAAGCGCACAGCCAGCTCGCCTACGCAGTGCCACCATTAAGCCTGGGCTCAAAGCTCCATGCTTTATCGGAAGGAGAAACGGAGCTGATGGGAGCCAAGAGCCAGCTTCTGCCAGGAGGGCAGCTGAGCCCTGGGGTGACGTATCCAGCCGGGGCCCTCTGCCTCTCACACACCTGCAGGTGCAGGGCTACAGCCAACGGCACCGCGTCCTTTCCCACAGAGCCTCCCCACAGCACGGAGCTCGCTGCCGCAGGGCGCCGCAGGCCAAACCTGAAATACATGGCAAGAAAGCGGGCAGCCCCACAGCACCTGGGCACACAGAGGACGGAGTGCAGCGCCCTCCATGCAGCTGCCGGCTCAGGAAGGCCCTGTGAAGGCCCTGAAGGCCCGCTCTCGATCTGCACCGTTTCTTAGACAAATGCTCCAAGCCCGCGTGGGACGCGCAGCGTTACAGCCTGGAAAAAGCTGAAAGGCTCAGAACGCAGCGGTGTCATCTAGCAAAGACATAAACGTGTCAACTGCAGAGAATGCGCACCTATTGATGGATCCCCTGAAAGCACATTCTGTGATGAAGGCTTTCTAAAAGCGATTTTTTCCTGCTCTCGCAGTCGTCATTTTCGAATAAGCCTGAGACAGGGAAGTACAAGCCTGGGACCAGCGGGTGCACAAGGGAAATGCTGGCTCTGGCTCTACAGGCCAGAAGGAAACTCTGCACCTGCTCCAATTAACCTCCCCCTTCAGCCCTGCACGTCACACCCACAACAGCTCTGAGCTTGGACAACAGCAGCCTGACTTCACTCTTAATTCCATTTATTTCCTAAGGAAGGATACCGGAGTTTGGGAGATGACAGAGAGCAGCTCCGAGGGCCTTCAAGAACTCAAGAATCCATTCCCCTGGGAAGACCACCTCAACCTGAATTACTTTTGACAGACACACATCAAACTTGCTCTCCCAAACCACCACAGACAGTGGCTCCAAACCTCCCCAGAAAAGCAGTGCAGCAGATCACCCATCTCTCCTGTCAGAGCATTCATCCCAGGAGAAAGAAAATAGACTCACCCCCGAGTAGCTGCAGGGGGCCTCTCAGCTAATGGGAAAGGATAGAGAAGGGGCAGCCAAACATCTTCCAAAGGGAGATTCATGCCACACATGTGGAAGCAGTCCAACAGCCAGCTGAGAGCAGGCACCCAGCTCCCACAAGGGATGGCAGCGAGCTCACTCAAGACTCAAATCCCCGTTTCTGTGCAACCTGATGCTATCATTAGCCCTCTGTCTGCACTTAGTGCTGTACATGAATGTACACCACGATGTCAGGTGCCACAGACAACCAGCAAGCAATGACCAGCACGGACCAAGCCACAACCAGAGTGTTGTGGCTAGCAGCTCAGTGCATGTGGTATGCATGGCACACCCCACGCCTGTGTGCTCCACACCACAGCCCTCAGGAAGGAGAGCAAACTCCTTACTCCTCCACTCCTGATGCTGGGTGGATAGACAGATCCTCACTTCCTCAAAGGCCACACGAGAGGAGAGCTGTCTGCAAACGTCCAATGGTACTGATGTGCTGGCTGACTTGACCAGCACCACCATCTCTGTTCCCCTAACTCATCTTCAGGGCCCCTTTCTGCTCTGCAGCAAACCCAGAGTGACAGGATGGAAAGAAGGAACCAGCTCTGGTGGATGCTTCACTGCCAGGACTTGGAGTCAGTCTGGTGCACTGAGCTCCAGTACCTGAGCTGAGGAGCCCAGCAGCCATGTGCAGTGTTTACAAACGCCTCCCTGCCTCCACCAGAGGGAGAACAGTAACAATCTGCAACTGGACGTCAAGAACTTGAAGTCCAAGAAGTGTTTTCAGGGAGCCTAAGTGCTGTACAGACCTAATCCTCACCAGTGCCCTCAGACACGACAGCAACCTGAGGATACTAGAGATGCTCAGATTCTTCCAGTACTGCATCCTAGAAAATACCAAAACCCCAAACTCTGAAAATCACTTTTCTCTCCCTTGCTCCGTGACAAACGTCAGCATCAGATTTTATCCTATCCTCAACATCTCACTCAGGCTAACAAGTGCTCCCAGGCACGTGGAGCCTCCATTTCCAAGGCCACGCTCAACTCACCACTCTCCTCTCTCACGCAAACCCACTCACACTCTAACTCAGTACCAGATTTGTCAGTGCACAGAACAGAGGCACATGAAGGATGCAGCAGCAGGGATGGCTGCTTTCCAGAGTGTTGGAAGCCCTGCACGACCCACCAGGCCCAGCTCCCATGAACTCCAACGAATTGTTTATTGCACAACAGAAGAAAAATGCTGCCCCTCTCCCCCTGCCAAGCCTTTCCATGTGTGCTACACGCGCAGGCTCCCTCCGATCCCCCTCCTGCCCTGCTGGGGAGCCAGCTTTATTCCCAGGGAAAGGTAACAGTGGCGATTATTACACACACTATCCCACAGCTCCTCGCTTGTTAAAAAAAACAAGAGTCTCTTTTGTGCCCGAAATAAAAGGAGATACCTTAATTAGAACAATGCAGGTTGGTGAGCATTAAACACTGAGCCCAGCTGCTGCATGCCATTAAATTCATAAAAAAGGAGGGGGGAAGGAGGGCAGTCTTAACGAGATTACACACATTGACTTTGATCAAGACACAAAAGCACCAAGGCGTTCCAGGGTTTTTATTGCTGTCTTCGGGCTACATTTTAATGGTTACATTAGAAACATGCGAACACAGGCTGGGAGATTTTTTTTGAGACGGGAAAGAGCGCAAGCACGCCTTGTGAAAAGGCCTGGTGTAATAAATTGGGGGCTGCAGAGAGAGGCTGGGGCTGGGGAACACATGAGTAGCCACTTATTAATTGCTTCCCCTATGCAAGTGCCAAGCCCTAATGTGCTGTCCTGCTGTCCTGCTGTCCTGCTGTCCTGCTGTCCTGCTGTCCTGCTCCCATCCCGCCCGCTCGGCAGAAGAGCCGTGTGCTCCCCCAGGTACCCAGACACGTCAACCCCTCAGCACCTGGAGTGAGGTTTTCCAGTTCTTATGACCATGAAAGAAAGGGACCTGACTGAAGTTGCTGAGCCTAAGAACAATCTGAAATTGGCGTGACAGATTTAAAACATCACTTACAGCTGCTGGAAAGAAGAGACGGCAGAGACTCGAGTAAAAAGAAATTAGTGTTTTATCCTCTGCTTGAAGCACTGCAGAGGAACAAGATTAGTCCTCACTTAGCAAAGGTGGCAGAGCGCACATTCATCCAAACACCTCACAGCTACGTGGCCACATATGTGTCTTTTATAACATGCTGCTAAAATGTTTACAAAAGCTTGTATAATCTAAGTAGTGACGGGGTGTAGCTGAAGAGCTATAAAATACAGCCCAAGGGATAGCCAAGTTATTGAGTTGCTATTAGTACTGAAGCCCACAGGCACTTCACCATCCTGGTAACTTTTCTTGGACAAGATTTTTAAAAGGCAGGATTTAAAGGAGCAAGATTGGCTTAATCGTAATTCCAAGAACACAACATGTTCTATAAAGTAGATTTTGTAATGCCTTACAGGAACACTTTTTAGGAGTGGCATTCCCTTACATTTGTTGCAGCCCAACGCCTTATCATCTTGCTAACAAGAGAACTAGAAAGCACAACTGACTGAGTGAAATGAAAGCCTGAAAATCAGCTGCACAGGGGAAATGAAAAGCTGATTATAAAGCCCCCAGTTTTAACAAAGGAAAGGAAAACACCATATTTAATAACACCTTAAATTTCAACCTGACGTCCTTCAGCACATGTATAAATCACCACTGCACTGGGTCACCTACTCAGTGTTCAAGGTAATCCCCAATCTTCCAAACAGAATGGTGTAAGCTTGGAAACTGCACAGCGCTGTTTCAAATAATCCAAAACCCACTGATTCATATTCATAAAAGCCTCTGTCTCTGTTGTCTATCCTGAAGACGATTCGCTTTGTTTCAGGTGAACATTAGGTTTCCCAGAAGCTACGCATTCCTTGCATCTCAGTGGATTTGGCCTCCGTTCCCACAGCTTTCCCTCTGCATGGATGCCACACAGGGCACTGCCGGAAGGCAAGGCTGCCCTCACAGCAGCAGAAGAGCAAGCAGTGAGCAGGATTGTGCTTTGGTAACGATGACTCAAACAAAGCTCACCGAAATCAAAGCTAGAGTGAGGTGTTAAGTGGCAAAGACATTAAAGCCTGCATGCACAGCACTTAGGTTGTTTAAAATAAAGCAAAAAGCATCTTTCCCCATGGTGATTTAAAATAAAGTATCCCAAAAGAGAGGGAGAAGTCTGTTAGTCAATGAGAAAGTAGCTAAGAGCCTCACCAGAGTCCGCAGCCAGCATTCTTCACAGTGCACATGCCAGCACTGAATGGAAGTCAGGGGCATTGTGTAGGAGTCCTGAATGAGAAGAAGCAAATAGGTTATTTCCACAGCAGGGATCTACTGATTCTTCATTCCCAATCCCACTGCAACACTGTTCTTTGTAGGGATGGCATCAGACTACAGATGATCCATTAGCCAAGCAAGAGAGGTCTGATCTTGATCTACCATGAGGCGTGAGGCAAAGGAAAAACAAAGCAGAATTAAGAGGGTCTCGTGTTAACAAACTTCTGCTGACTTTCCACTTAAGAACTGAGCAGAGATAGCAATGTTTGTACAGCAGAGGTAGAAAGTCTCTGGCTTCTCAGACCTGCTGGAAGCCCATAATCCACTCAAGGGGTGACCTGGCTCAGCACAGTTATCGCAAGAGCATCTGAAGTTGCCGTGGCCACCTGCTGTTATTCTCATCAGAAGGGTCACCAGATCATATGAAAAACAGCAACAGGGTAAGATTAACCCTTATCACAACTCTCTACTCTGCAGCAACAGCTTAACTACATCCCAGTAACGCTGCTGCTACTTCAGCAGAGCGCTCAAGTGCTTTCCATGATTGCTAATAAGCCCCTGAAAATCAGCAGTGAACTCTTGTGCCTTTCATGGGACAAGGCAGGGGAACTGCTACCCCCATACCCACAAGTCACAGGTGGGAGAGGCAGCACCATGCATCAAGCTCAAGTTGCAGAGGGAGCCCTCTACCAAGCAGATTTTTCTCCTGCCATCCGCAGAACGAAGACCTAACAAGGAGATGAAACGCTTTGCAAGCTCAGACCATCAGAGGGAGCTGCTGCCTTTCTTTACGGAGGCTACAGCATCACCACAGAGGAAGCAGGACAACTTTTAAACAGGCAACATTCTTTTCCCAAATCGCAGGGTGGGTCTCAGATCATGGAATGTACCCTTTTATGTATGGAAAGAGAAGAGAACACGGGTATCTGGGAATTCTCTCTGGGGAGCCTGAAAGCTTTCCAAAGTGGGGGTTTTCTTGGCTGTAAAAGTCAGTGGAGCAATCTAATGGGCACAGAAAGTCCAATTTCTAAAACAACCAGGCACTTACACTCAAAAGGAAAGAGATTCCTCATAGCGTACAGGGATGAGGGTGACTTCTCCCCTCCCCAGAAAAAGGAGAAAGGAAAAAACTTCCCTCCTTAGCAAAGATAAGGCAAAGACACCAGGGCACTTCTGATTCATTACCACAAGTGGAGTGCTACTCACCATGCAAATGAGACATTTATAGCGGTCCCCACGGGAAAGCTGCCTTTCTAACTCACGGACACGAGCCTTTAGTGCTTCAAATGTTGTCACTGCAGAGTCTTCTGTAATTCTGCAAAAGATGATGGAGAGTGAGCATCACTGAGCACACAAAATTGTGAAGAGTTCAGAGGGAAAAGGATCTCACAACAGGCGAGCAACAGAGGAAAAAGTGAGCAAGATTCAAACGTGCATTGAAAAAGAGTCCTTGAAAAACCCAGTGTGAATTCTTGGAGGTCTGCTACTAAACAGTTCCAAACACACCACAGCGGCACAACAGGACTAGTGCTGCCAACTGCATAGAAAGCAAGTTTCTGCAAGACGTGAACACTTAAATAATAGATTCTGTTAGTTGTTTTCTGTCTCCTGTGAGCGATTCCATGGGAGCAAACACACGGGACAAGGCTCTGGGCGCTCCTCCAAGCTGGTGAGCTAACTGTGCGTGGGCAACAGGAGCTGCTCTTCCCCTTAAAGAACAGAGGCCGCTGCTGACCATCAGACTTGTGAAACACAAGATCTGCATTACAGAGGATCCACACAGTGCTGCTCTAGCTTGTTGGTTTCTAATACTGAAAAGGAGAAAACCAAAAGCAACAGACGTTGTGCCAACAGGGAGGCTATAAAAGCAGCTTTACAACCACTGCTTTCCCATTTCCTAGGGTCATTTTTGATGGGCAGCATTATCTCTTTTGTCACAGAGGCACTGTGCTGAGGGCAGGCAAGTGTATTTTCATGGCTGCAAGGCTGGTGAAAAAAGCAACTTGCCAACCTAAAAGCAAGGGCAGGCAGTAATGCTTAGCAAATGAGATGCAGGGAGCATTACAGACAAGGATGTGTCACTCCAGCATGCTGCAAAATCAGATTTCTGCACAGTGCAGATACAGGCATGGGCCCTCCAGCATTCCCCAGGAAAGGTTTGCAGAGTATTGCACTGACATTAAGGCTCTCGCTCTCTTTAATCAGAAGGAGATTCGTCGCAAATGAGTTACTAAAAAATAGCAGAAATTCATAAACTGGAATAAGGCAAAGAAACACAGGTTTCACCATAGCCTGGTGGATGGCAACCACGTGGAGACAGGGACACTGTGTGTTCAAGTCTTGGTATCAAGAAATATTCTTTGGAGCAAAATGAAAGAGCTTTAGTAGGAAACAGAGCTCCCTGCTGTGAAACATCCACTTGCTCCCGCTTGTTGGTATAAATTATTATCATATCCCTGTTTGGGTTCTCACCCTCGGGGGAGAGTTGTCAGAATTTTCAAAGAAAGTGTAGAAAGCTGTTAGTTTTGTCTGAGGGAGGAACAGGATTATTTATTTATAACTTAAAGATTACTGTGGGATGAGAAAATCATTTCCCTTCCAGCCTGCCCTGTCAAAAAGCTGATGCTAGATGAAAGCTGAAGCTGAATTTGACTTTCTGGAATCCGTTTCTCTCTTCCTGCATGCGTGAGGCTACTGGAACTTAGAAGGCAGCAAGCAAGGTTCCTGCCCAAAGCAGAGAGCAAGCAGGAACCTCAACCCTTGCTAAATTCCCTACCACCCATGGAACTGTCCTTTCTCCTTTGAAGAGCAAGAGACTCAGTAAGGAGAGAGAAAAGAGGAATCCTTGAGCAGATCCGAGCAAAAGCCAATTCATCTCCAGACCTAGCCCAATAATGGTCAAAGCTTGAAAGGGAAGAATTTGCCACTGCAACAACTAGAGGAGATACAAAATGGCTTGTTTATAGAGGCCTAAATGGCTGACCCCCATCAGCCAATTTTGGAAAGACTCTGAGATAATCGCACCTGTCCACTAATAAATGAATGAATCAGAAAAGGAGGCTGAATAGAGGTATAAGAAATAATGCTCAGAGGCTGCCTGATACAATGGCCAATCAATAGGAGGGCTGTAGATCAGGGTGCTAGTTAGCTGGAAAATTACCGCACTGCTGCGTGCGTCACGCTGTAGGGATCCTGGACAATCAATGTGGGAGGTATTGATTTAGTTATTATCACTTCATACGCTCCAGACATTGTTAAATATACATTTATTAACAAGACTGGGGTGCATTGGTAAGAGGGAGCTTCAGCCACAGCAGTATCTCCCAGCGCTGATCAAAGCTCGGCTGTAACAGACTTTAAACTCCATGTTCTTGTTGCTAAGTGTGCTCTCAGGACAAATCCTCCGCCCAAAGCACAGCTCCCAGCTCCCAAGAGAGAGGTTTTTGGCCACGAGTGAGTATTTTGCACTTGAGCTTTCAGGAAAGCCTCCTGGAGCAGCAGCAACAAGGGACATGGGGGCCAAGGGTCAACCCAAAGCAAGCGATAATTGCATGGTTGCTTCCGAAAAGCCAGAGGAAATGAGGTCAAGGGAAATAGGGAGAACATTAGTAAATAAAGGAAACTGGAACTACCTCCAGGGATGGAATAAAGACGAGAGTCACTTCCCATGTGTCTGGCTCCCGTGGTGGCCAGCACACTTGGGACACATACCATTCCATTTAGTGACATTTTACCGTCAACCTGCTGCTTGTATCCTAAAGATAAGTATCACTTCAGAGCTACTCTTCCTGCAGCAGCAATCTCAGGAATTCCCTGATGCTTCCCTCTTTGCATGCACACCTCATGCGAGTTTGCTTGAAGACAGCTGGGAGCAGCCTGTGCTGCGTTTTTAAGGGCTGAGCAAGGCCAGAGTGCAGCGACCTCCACAAGCCACCATGCCAAGGGAGGCTGAAGGAATGGCAACGAAGAAGGAATTTGGCTCCAGAGCCCTGCTCCTTGCTTTGCCTTGACCTCATGTCTGGATGTGGGAGAACCATTTTAGCAATTCTGTGCCTCAGTGCTCTGATTTCACGTTTGGATAACGTCATTCACCAGCCTCAGGACAGAGATGCTGAGCACAACTGCTGCAAGGAGCTTATGCGTCCAGCCCTGGGCTGCTGCTTCTCCAACCAGGAAGGAGGGAGCAGAGCAGCCTCATCATCTCCTCCATGGCAGAGGACAACTCAAGAAGGCATATCCCATTCTTATTGGGAAGCTACACCTACCTCCACCACAAATATGGGAGCCTCAGCACAAACATTTACACCAGAACAGAAACGTGAAGGAAGGGCTCTTCAGAGAAGAAGCTTGGTCCTGCACTTCCCTATGGACTCCCAAAACTTGGCAGTCACAGCTGGGGATGCTGGGTATCATGGAGCAAGTCTACTGGGAGACTGGGAAGACCAGCACTTTCCAGTCTTTGTGCCCAATACATGTTTTTCTACTGTTCAAAACATGTTCTTCCTCTTGTCAGTACAGAAAAAAAAAAAAGAACAAACTTACTTTTGTTGAGCAAATCCTTGCTTTTGCTCACGTAAAAGGCCAGGAGAAGGGCACAAAAGCACCATGTAAGGGCACAAAAGCACCATGTAAGAGAAAAAGGACCTATCTGTACCTTTGATCTGGTACTCAGCAAGCACCTGCTGGGAAATCTCCCCAGGGAACAGGTTGCCTCCCCTTTGCAAAAAACTTTAACCCAAACACTGGTTATTTGTCAAACATTAGCATGCATGTGATCTTTGTTTCTCCAAATTAAATCGAGCAATTCCTACCCGCTGTCCCAGTGGGCAATCACAAGCAATTCCGTTAATTAAATTATCTCTGATTCTGCAGCTCTGGAATCTCTCAATTGACTAAGTCTGTGCTTTATCATCAACAAAATACTGGACCAAAAAGGAAACAAAAAGACACCGATGTCAAAGTGATTGGCTTCAGTTAACCCTTCCCAGATGGATATTAAGGGCTGCTGAAAAAACTGTTTGACTGGAAGGGGCCCAAGAGCAAAAGCTTCATACCAGACACCAGCAGCAGCTATTCACCTCTGTTTCCTTTCCATCATACAAACAGACAAACAAGAAATACATCCCTGCATCTAGAACCCTGTCTATCTGCCCATGTGAATTACCCCATCCACCCTTGCCAGGTCTCATTTGCAGCACCCCGCTGCTGAGGAGCCTCCGTTAAACATTCCCCTTTGGCTTCCTTCTAATGGATATAAACATTAATTTCTTCATAAACAGTCACACTGTACACAGCATTCCATGTATTTTTTACAGTTCCACTATCTGTGTGTCCCTTGTAAAAAAAATGCTTAGTGCCGATTAAACGCACCACCAATAAGATTTCATGGGCCTCTTCTGACACTTGCTATTCTGACCTTCCTCCCTTGTGCTCATACCTTTATTTTTGTTTCTGTACGTCCATAAACAGAGTGGCAGTAACAAACCTGGGAGCGATGGCTTTATTTTTAAACAAAGACCTTATTTCCCCTTGTCCAAGGTGGAGAACCTGATCCCACAGCAGAGCATACCTGCCATTTCCCTGCAGCAGGGGCAGAGGTCAGGCTGCTACCAGCTTACATATCATAAATATTAGAAACAGACTGGTTGATGCTTTGAAGGCAGTGTAAAGCTAAAGTGAGATTCCAGGAGCAAAGAAATTGCTTCTGGCCATATCCAACCACGCCTCCAGATGATGGTTATCATAATCACTACTTCATTGCAGAAGAGAAAGGCTAATATGCACAACTCACCTTGTGGGCACAGAATTTTAAGATCTGATAAAATCACAGAATTGAGTTGGCCTGGAAGGAACCTCAAAGCCCACCCAGCTCCAATCCTCTGCTGCAGGCTGGTTGCCCCCCACCAGATCAGGCTGCCCAGGGCCCCATCCTGACCTTGTGCATCTCCAACGATGGGACAGCCACAGCTCTCTGGGCAGCTGTACCAGTGCCTGTCCACCTTTTTGTCCACGAGGATTCCAAAAGTCTTATCCACAGAGCTGCTCTCAGTGAGTTCTCCCAGTCTGCACTCATGTCTGAGGTTGCTCAAACCAAATGATCTCCAAAGCACACTCGCTACCTATCATCCAGGACAAGAATGCTTTTCGTCTCCACTTTGGTGAAAGAATCCATCCTCCCTTTCAAGTTAGCAAGCACTACCTGCAGCACGTGCTATTGCTAAAATGATGGAGGGGTTCATCGGGGCAGATGTGTGTGAGTTCTGCTGGGGGATACACAGCCACAGGGCCAGATTCCTCGCAGCAGCAAACTGCACA